AGGTACAAACACCCAATGATAAATGTAAACAAATTGTATACCTAAAATGTACCAATAAAAGAACTAAAAAAAAGAAAGAAAGAAAGAATAATGGTGACCTTTAAGCTGGATAAGGGAAGTCAAGCAAAGGGAAAATGGGAGAAGGGGATGAGAGAAGAGACAGTACCAAAAACAAAGTTCCTGTTTTAGTATACCACCTAGTGTCCACCCTGACCCAGAAGAGAAGGGGAGCTTTCCCTCTTGCCCTCCAAAATACACACTGGCACCACACTCCTGCACTAGCTGGGCATTGTTCTTTGTCTATCAGCTAAGACTTACCACCTTAGAGAAGGCAGTGAAGAGGAAAGAGAGCTTAAGTCAAATCCTGGCTCTTCAACTCGATGGTATTGTTCCAATTATAGTATATGTGCTGCCGAAGCGAGCACTCAACTCAATGGTATAATGAGGTCATGTTTCCTCATCTATCAGCCGAAGATAACTATACTCCCTCGAAGGGTACTATGGAGTTCAAGTGAAATGAATAGATATATGACACCTGATACCCAGAACTAATACCCCTAAAATATATGTCTGGGCTCTCCTGGGAATCTAAAAATAAATACTATTGGTTCTAAGGAAAACTTGTTTCCAGGCTTCAAATAAACCAAATCATGATCTTCTAAACATAACCATAGTTAGGATTTGTGTGCTTTTACATATTAGATGCCAATGAAAGAGACACACCTTTATTTCAAAACAAAAGAAATTAATTTCAAAACTGATGCTTTCTTTATCACACCTTGCATGTTGGCAACCAGCGTACCAGGAGCACACCTTACAGGATTAAAATAATCAAACGTCATAAAAAGCAGGAAGACACATATTTCACCATGGACTGAATCAGCTTCCAAGCTTCAAGGTGTAGCTGGTTGCCCAGAAGACTTGATAGAGGCCTGCCAAACATGGGTGGGGAGAGAGACATAGAAATCGGGCTGCCATGGCTCATTGTCATTTACTGATCTCTTTGGCCTCATCTGTTTGCGCCATTTGAAAGTATCCAGTTTCCCAATGGAATGGTGATTGGAAGCTTCTTAAAGTGAATATAACAGAGATTCATGCTTTAAAGTACATGTCTTAAAAGCTAAATTTTCACTAGTTTAAAATATTTTAACAATCATAGCATCTTCTCCCACCCACAAATCCCCCCTGCCTACTCATATCAATACACGACCCCCTTAGAGCACCTCCTTCTGACCGTTTCCATCTCATTACTTCATGCGCTTAGATGTGTTTTAAAGACACACTTGGTGTAAACACCACATTCTAATTTTCAGTGTCCTCTTTCCCGGTATCTGAGCAGGAAGCTATTCCCCAAGGGTAGAGAACATGTAATTCAGTGTTCTTCTTCATAGGAAATAATCCTAGCGGAGCCTCATGGAAAGTTGTTTCTCTTATGGTAAAGTGATCGGACTTGACTTCCCTCACCCCGTCAGGCTCCCAATAAGGGTGGTTTCTCTGGAAGTGGGTGCCTGTTGTGAGGCCTGGATGTGAAGCTGAGTAAGCCTTATCCGGAGAACTGGAGTGGGGTACACAAGCCTGCGGCTGACCGAGGATTAGTGGACAACAGTGTGTCCTGCAATCCAAACGTTTGGGTAAACACAAGCATACTGAAGTTGTTGAAAGGCAATATGTATATGCACCAACTTCCCGCGATGAACGTCATCGGTACCGCAAATGTATGCTGATAAATTATTTTTAAAATGGAAAGAAAAAATAAGAGCTGCTGAGGAGCTTTGTCAAAGTGTCCCTGGAGTTCACTGCTTTTCGAGGTGTCTTTCAGACATAGCATTTTACTCTAGTATCACGGCCATGTGCACAGTCCTCGGCAATTTCATGATTGCAAAACTCTTACACAAGAAAAATGTGAATCTGTCTACTCATTCCACAAAGAGGATCTTGCGAGTTGTTTTCATTCTAAGTTCCTTATATGACATTTCCACTACAGCTCAGAGGCATTTCTCTCGAAACAACACGCACTCTCTTTAGTGGAGGGAGGGGGAAAAAAAGATCTCAAAATAAAGTAGGACTACATTCATGCTTAAGGGCTACGTTCCCAGTTGCTGTTTAAAAAGCCAAAGTAAACAACACAGTACGGAGCGGACGCGGAACATAACGGCCAGCGCGCATCCTGGGGCTCGGCCTCGGCCTCGGGGCTGCAGCGGGAACGCCCCGGGCGCACCCCGCTTCCCGCCGGCCTCGCGGATCCCGAGGGGGCGGCGGCGCCCAGATGCGCCCTCACCTCCCGGCGGGGCCGCGCGGCGAGACACACTTCCTGTGCCCATCAGCCCCCCATCCACCGCGACCAGGGGAGGCTGGCGACATCGCCCAGCCCGCTGGCGCCCTCAGCGCCGCCGGGAGCTCTGCCGAGGAACCTGGCCAGGAGCCGAGCCCGGCTCCCCGGGCGCTGGGTGGGGCCGCGGGGCCCTGGGCCGGGGACCCAGCCCCACCCGCCTCCCGCTCTGCCCAGGCGGGGCTCCCCGGCAGGGGGTCCCTGCGCAGGTGTCAGGACCCTCACCTTCTCCTCCGTCCAGGCAGTGGCACTCCGACTCAGCCCCCAGGCCACCAGGAGCAGCAGGTGGAGGCTGCCCGCGACGCCCACGTCCCCGCCGCCTGCCATCTCTGCCAGCGAGGCCGTGTGGGCTCCCGCTCCTGGGCCGCCAGCGGTCACGAGCCCGGGAACGCGCGTCCGTCGTCTTCCCTCTTCTCCACCCTTGGGTCCGCTGCGCCCGCCTCCCCATCTCCCGGGTCGCCTCTGCCAAGCCTCGAGCTGCAGCCCCAGCCTCCTCCCCCTGACCAAGGCAAGCCGGGGGCCCGCTGCTGGAAGTGACTTCTCCACTTCCTTGTCTTGGAGAGGAAGGGAAGAAGGAAGGAGGAAGGATGGAAGGGAGGAAGGACAGGCAGACAAGCCCTGTGACGTGCCGTATCTCCAGTGCCCAAACAGGGAACAGAAAGGAGACGAAGGGCTCATCAGGCCCTGGAAGCTAAGAAGTGATTTTTCTACAGCTGTGTAAGAAGAGCGGGACGGGAGTCAACACTTAGTGAATCATCTGCGCAAGACCCTATTCCCCCACCACCACCCTTTTATGCTCCCTTATTTCAGTTACTAATCGCATTTGACAAAGGAGAAAACTAAGACCCTGGTTTTTTTGAGACAGGGCCTCACTATGTAATTCAGGCTGGCCTCGAACTCAGGGCAGCCCTCCTGCCTCAGCCTCCCAAGTGCTGGGATTAACACTCGTGCACCATAAAACCCTCTTGAGAAAGCTGGGAACCCCCAAGGAAAAGTCTTTCCTCTGTGATACTGATACAGGGGAAAATATGACTACCAACCTGCTAGATGTCAGATATGCAGAGTTCCTGTCCCCTGAAATTGAAGAATGAATTCCAAAGGACAATGGAGATTAAGAGTAGCAAAAGTTGGTTGGGGGATAGGAATAGCTCCTGAGAGACAGGAGGGCACCCAGAAAGTTGCCAACGACTCCACTTCACTAAGAATGTTTTATGGAGTAAAATCACAATGTAGGTTCAAAATCACCAGGGAGGTACAACATGGATCAAACTATGATCAACCAATAAGATTACAAGTATAGCCGCTTAAGTAATATTGATCTAATAGAGAAGCAGATCAAGCAGCAAGGGTACATGGAAAGAGCAAAGACATTTTTAGAAAGGGATGGGTCCAGAGGTTCTGGTCACCCACCTGAGTGACTGATGTCTATCTAGACTTTATTGGACAGGATGATATCAATGGTAGTATAATCTTCAATTTATTGCTTATCCCTCAGAGAGGCATGTAGGCCTGGTCATTCCATCTTTATCTTGAGGCCTGGCCTTCGACAGATGAGCCTCCAGCCACAATTCTGATGTCTTCATTTCTTCTGCTGACTTTCTTGACAGCCCAGACCCTTTCTGACTGTATTAATTTCCATCTAATTTATCTGCCTATAGTAATAGGACATCTGTATCCTTTTTCACAGGTATTTGCCTTATTTGCCTTATAAGAGACAGCTCATCTTGCCCTCAAGCTGAGAAGTATGGTGGAAGTAATGATCTGAAACAAATGAGGTCTAGAATATTACAGTGGCTCTGATGCATGTTTCCAAAAGGAAAAGCCAGAAACAATTTTCTTTACAGTTGGCCCTCTACTTCCCCAAGTTCTGCACCCTGGAATTCAGCCAACTACAAATTGAAAATATACGGTTGTGTCTGCACTGAACATGTACAGACTCTTGTGTCACTATTCCCATTGTTCCTGTTACATAGTATAACAAATATTTAAGTAGAATTTGCATTGACTTGGTTATTGTAAGTCATCTATAGATGATTTAAAGTATACAGGAGGATGTGCAGAAGTTATGTGCATGTGGTATGACTCTTTTTATATGAAGGACTCGAACATGCGTGGATTTTGGTATGGGGAGGGTGGTCCTGGAAATAATGATGTACAGATACTGAGGAAAGTCTGTACTTTGTAATATCAAAGATCATTGCTATCGAGATAATACTATTTTTAAAATAAACAAAACAGGGTTGAAGCTATAGTTCAGTGGTAGAGCCCTTGACTAGGATGTGCAAGGCCCTAGGTTCAATCCTTAGCACCACAAAAAGGAAAAAAAAAATTAAGTTTTGTGTGCAGGGTTTCGGTGTAAATTGTCAAGACAATTACATCATATCCTCTTTTTCTTCCACAGTGAGGATCAGGGTTTGATCTATCTTGCGTCATCTTTCAGTAACACCGAATTCCCAGGAAAGCTAGAACAAGGGTACTGAAACAGAACTATTTCCTGGGGATCCGAGTTTGAAGGTAATGAAGCCTAGCAGAGCCCCACCCCCCCTTCCCAGGCTTGGTTACCTGGTGAGTTTCTAGAAAGAGCTTGTCTGGGAATACCCCGTTCTGCCCTCCTCTGGAGCTTCAAGGGAAGACAGGATGTTTCTCCTTGCCTGAGGTTCAAAATTGCTAACCCTGTTCATGTCTGAGAGTTTGGAGTGACAGTTTAAATATCTGGGCTTAAATAATATTGAATAGCTTCTTTATTACAACCTGGGGCAATTCTGATGGTCGGAAACTTCAGAACTTTCCATTGGTTCAATATTCAGAGCAAAACCACTATCATATGTCCCAATGTGTTACCTCTCTTGCTACCTGAGCCAACCTTTAAATAGTGGATTTCCTGAGTGTCTGTGTAATAAAGAATCCTATTACCTGTTACTCTACTACCTTCTTATATTTTCACAACACGATTCTTGTAAGAGGTAAAAATGGCAAATCTTATGAAACGAAATGTGAGCCATAATATTGTGCTAAGTATGTACAATTCAAAATAAGAAATAAGAGAACAATCAAGCTAAAATGTTAATACATATTTTGACAGCAATTTTCTATTCCTTAGAGTTCTCCGATTTTGGTCATGTTTAAATCAGTACGAAGCTGTTGCAGTTTGGGATCCACAGAAAGCTCACTCTGAGGCAGCTTAGTAAGCAGGGTGTGTCTTAGGGAGTGCCCTTGGGACAAAGCTCTATGGGAGGAAGGAGGAACAAGACGGGGCAGATGGAGGAGTTCCAGTGAAGTGAACCCCACAGCCTCACACACCCCCATAGGGAGCCTGAGAGCTGACTGGCCTGTCCGTGTTATCCTGTGGGGGACCAGAATGCCTGGGCTTTATCTCCCCACCTCAGTGAAGGGACTTCCTGCAAGTGGCTGCACTGCAAAGAAAGCTTCCCTTCACTCATTCCGTGCCCACTGCCTTCATTCTAGAAACTTCTACAAATCCTTTATATCTGCTGGCTGTTTTGTCCCTACTGCAACTTTTCCTTTCTTCAAACTCTCCCTATAGAAGATAACCATTCCTTTTATATTTTAATTAAAGTTTCAGGCCCCGTTTTCTTATCATGAAAAAAAAAGTCGGTTTTATACCCAGTGATAACACTGTTCACAAGAAGAGCAGTTATCATCTTCGGCATTGTACAGATTCTATACTGTGATTTACAGGACATATCAAAGAAAAGATCCACACAAAGTGTACACCTAGTCCTACCTTGAAAGTGAAGTCACTGGACTAAAACGAAAGCAGCAGTTCTCAAAGTGTGGCTGTGAATCCCTGGAGAGTCCAGAGAACCTTTTGGATATCTCCAAAGTCAACTTAGTTTTAACTTTTTACTGCTTTGACTTTGCACTAATGTTGCAAAAGAAAAGGTGGGTAAAACTAGCACTTATCAAGACAGGACACAAAATTTAATATTGAAAGAAAAATATACTTGTAGCCATTATATATATATACATTGCCATGCACACAGAAAAAAAAAGTAGAAAAAGACTCAGTCCCACTTAAGAATTCATTAATGAAGCAATAAAATTAGTTGTTTTATTAAATCTCAACCCCTGAGCACATACCTTTTTAAGTTTTATTGAGATATAATTGTAAAACATTAAGTTATACATAAAGTATCCAGTGTGATGATTTTTAACACAGGTATATACCTGTGAAACCACAATCAAGAGAATGAACATACCACCTCAGAGCTTCTTCCTTTTCCTTTTTAATCCACCCCTTTACTATCCAAGCCCAATCCTATCAGCCACAGTGTCTTCCAAAATCCTTATACAATTTTGCACTAGTACAAGTAATACATGAAAATTTCAGTCCCACCACAGGCTCACCAACATTTCATACTCTTACTCTTTAATTTTAACCATTAGAATAGATGACTGATGGCACACACCTGTGATCCCAGAACTCAAGAGGCTGAGGCAGGAAGACACCATGAGTCAAGGCTATCCTGGGCTACACAAGTTCAAGTCCAGCCTAAAATACATAGCAAGACTCTGTCTCAACAACAACAACAAAAAAACAGCAACAGAGAAAGAGTATTGAGATGTGTTACGTATATGCACCAACTCTCCACAAGGAATATGATCATCATGTAATGCAAACATGTACTAATAAAAAAATAAAAACTGAAAAAAGGATAATTGATTTCATTTTCTATTTTATTTCATTAATTTCTGACTTGATCTTTATTAATTCCTTTTTTCTGCTTACTGTGGGTTTACTTTGAAACTCTCCCCTCCCATTCTATTAATGTTTCCAAAAAATGGAAACGTAAAGTCATTGTCTTTCTCATTGCTGAGACAAAATACCTGACACCCAAAGTTAAAGGAGGAAAGGTTTATTTAGCTCACAGTTTGTAGAGGTTCCAAGGCAGGTTGCATCCTAGAGGAGAAAAACTTCATGGCAGGCAGAAGGTAGCAAAGCAACAAGGGCCGACCACAGCTCTTTCTATCCCTTACATCATATCCAAGCTACTTAGGGCAGGTAGCACTCACACCCTCAATCCTTGTGCCCTTGGATCCTAGCACTGCACCATGAATCAATCCCAGCATCACACACTCTAGATCCTAACCTAACCCACCTCTGACAAAGTCCCACCTGTGATGGCATGAGGCTTTGGGGGTGCATCTAGACACCAGCCATAACATTCCACCTCTGGCCCCCCAGACTCATGTGCATCCCTTTATGAAAAGGCATTTAGTCCATCTGTAAGAGTTGACAAAGTCCTAACTGTTTCAGCATTGCTGCAAAGTCCAAGTCCAAAATCTCCTCTGAGATTTAAGGCAAACTCTTAGCTGCAAGCCCTTGTACAAAGGAAAAGAAAGTTAAACACGTCCAACATTCAATAGCATAAGATACACATTTCCATTCCAAAAGTTACAAACGGGGATAGCAAGGAATGGGAACAAAGCAAGACCCAAACCCAGCAGGGCAAACATTAAATCCCACAGTTCCACTTCCAGCATCCCTGGCAATCTGTGGCAAGTTGTGAACTCCAAAGGGCATGGGTGGCTTTGTCCCTATGACACTTCTGGTGGTTGTAGCTCCCATGACTTCTCTCTGCTCCCCGTTTGCAGTTTTCCTCGGATGATCCATGTTCCTGCCTTCTCCAAACTTCTGGAGTCTCCACTGCACCTTTAGCTTTGAACTCACA